ATAGAGAAGTTCAGGGTGACCTCTGAGACCCTAGGTTACAGACTGATGATTTTTGTATAGATCGTGGGATTGATGCTTTCAGGGTGACCTGTCCCCAGGACCTGGGCTGGACACCCCTAGGTAACAGACTGATGATTTCAGGGTGACCTGTGGGACCTGTTATACTGGGGCCCCCCATGATCAAGGCTGGACACCCCTAAGTTATAGACCAACAACTTCAAGACCACCAATCCTGCTGTTGTGCTTCAGGTATAGGTGAGACTCATGCAGACTTCTCTTCCTCACCCTTCACCCAGCTCCTCAAGGGCCTCCTGAACCAAACTAAGAGCTGTGGAGCCCTCCTGCACCGACAGAGCAAGAACAGCAAGCAGAAAGGCAGGATGTGTTGCCAAACAGCGTGTTCTGTCCCGTCTGCCCCTCAGGCAAGAGGCAGGCATGTAAAAAATCATTGTCTTGTTTTGACACAGAAGCACCAATGTCGACTATTCTGAAAGCTTAGGGGGGGGGCTGCCTGTAGTCTTAATGACATAATGGAGAGATTATGGAGAAGAAGCAAGATAATTTTAGTTCAGGATGCATCACTAACAGAAAAGTAGCTGTAAAACTGGAGAATTCTAACACCAGGAGGACAGCTGGTCCGGTGGTCAAGACCCAGGGCTGGTACACCAGGAGGACAGCTGGTCAGGTGGTCAAGACCCAGGGCTGGTACACCAGGAGGACAGCTGGTCCGGTGGTCAAGGCCCTGGGATCGTACACCAGGAGGACAGCTGGTCCAGTGGTCAAGACCCAGGGCTGGTACACCAGGAGGTTCCAAGTTCAAGCCCCAGCTCTGAATGGGTCTCTGCCACTGGTCCTGAGGAAGTGACTGGACATCGCCTGCCTTAGGAGGTTACTCAGTAGCAGGTCTCTCACGTCTTCCCCACCTCGCCCGGTGTCAGGCGAGTTTAAGTCACATGATTAAATGCAGTGTGTGTACGTGCGTGTGCGCGCGCGCAAGTGCTGCCCAGACCCTGTCATTGGCCACCTGTCTCCTCTGAGTGTGCTCCCAGCCCTGGTTACGCCCAGTAATGTCAGTAATGCTGTCCGTCTACATTGCTGTAGCCAGCAGTGCCTGTTAATTACCGAGAGCAATTCAGAGCCACCCCTTGTTCCTTAGGCAATAGCGCCATCTAGCAGGCTCCAATGGCAACGCCATGTATTATTTCTAACAACATAATTGCATTTATATAGCACTTTTCATCCCAAAGGAAGGG